GATGTGTATAATTAAGCAAACTCTTCACGAACCACAAGAAAACCCTACAAACTCACACATGGGGGAGAGAAATGAAAAGAAAAAAAGCACTCCTTACAGTACTTGACAACCCAATACACTATGCTAAAAGGGAGTGACCCAGTTGGATGGGGATGATTAAAGGGAACAATGCATGAGTTGCTGAATCTATGGAAGGTCAACTACTCCTCATTCACTGATCGGTGATGCTAATTGATTGGGCTTCCAGCCGAGACTGCACTTATAGGCTTGCTTTGATATGCAGCAGTGAACGACCCAGAACGGGCAGACTGAGGTCTGGCTCCAAACTGCAGCCTTTACAAACAGCACTCGGCTCACTTTAAGGCCAAGAAAGAAGGGGGGTGGGTGGGAGCGAACTAGCTACAGCACACAATCATCGCTTGTTGCATGCGATCATACCTTGTACTTGAAGCCATCTACAGGAACAATGTCCATCGTGATGACGTAGTTGGTAAAAGGCTGGAGCCCGGATACCCTGACGCTGCAGTGTGGAAACATCCTCCTGAAAAGGCACGCACCAAGTCAGAAGCAAACATGTGGCTCAAATGAAAAATAAACAACTTTTTAAACACTTAATTTGGAGATTTCTTTTTTGCATGCAGGTCCATTTCAAAGTTTCTTCTACCCAGAAACCTGAAAAACAAAATGACGCGCAAAACAGGTCATCCACTTTTATGTGGCCTGCATGAAACAATATGTAAAAATGCACTTTGTGTAGTCCTTTTTCAGGACCTTGTATTGTCACCACCAAGGTTTTTTAACCCCCTAAGACCTGAACGCTTTTAATGGCATTTTACCTGACTTATTGTTTCTGAGAAAAATGAGATCCACATATGAGGACATTCGTTTTAAATTTCGATAGAACAGTGGCAGTATAATGTCCTCGAATGTGGGTGTCGGGCCCTTGTAGAGCAAAGAGAGATCTTTGAAAACTAAATTTAAACAAATAACTTGAACTGTTAGGTAAAAATGTTATTATCACTTCCCTGATAAACGTATGTATTATGCTTCCTCTGGATGTCGACAAGACTGCAAATTCAGCTGCTTTCAAGACTTGTTTTTATTACAATACTTGTACTGGTCTTTCCCTGTGTGCTACATCTACTACTACTCCTAAAAACAAACAAACAAACACTGAAACTAAAATTGAAACTGATAAAAACTAAACTAAAAACAAGAAAATACACTCTGGAAGCTACATGAAGATAAACTGAATTCATTGAAAAGCAGTCTTTTCTAATTTTCAGTAAAATGAGAAAATGCAGCTGGATTAGTAACCAGATTGTGTGCTTCACATCGTTCCTGGAAATAATATTTTATTTTGGAGTCGTGGAAGTGTTTTAAGGAAAACACAGAGGTCTTTTTGACTATTTATTTAACTGTACCCACTGGATGTGTAACATTCGTCTTTAAAGTTACACATGTTATTTTCTACTCTGTGTTCTAGAGCGTTGACACTAGAAATTAGCAGTTTGAATCCAATGAGACATGAAGCCATTCACATGCTGCTGTCAGATTAAGGAAAGGGAATACCATGGAGAGGCTAGACAGGCCATGACTATGAAAGACGCAAGTCAAGTTTACTCCCTGAAGTGCCCGTGTCTGTCTTCCAGTGAATGCATCTGCGTTGTCTGATTGCAAGTAAAAGCAGCGATAGAAAATTTAACTGTATAGCACAGTGAACTCCCTGCAAAGGGACAGTCTGCTTTATTAAACAACAAAAGCAACCTCTTCCTGAATCAATAGGCAAAGATTTAAAGATGGGTGCAACTTAAAGCTTTCTTATCTGCTTTTATTAATGGTAGGGGAAGTACTTCTTTTATTTAAAGTAGCAATACCACAATATACCATTACAAGTAAAATACATTAATATATTCAGGTATTAGCAGCAATATAAGAGTCAGCATCCATTTATGTATTTTCATTATTCCTACCTGTAAATACCTACTAAATTGCCACAGGTGTGCATTTACAATAACACCAGACCCCTGTTGCATGTATGGGTCGCACGTGTCACTCAATCAAGTGAGCTATAGTGTGACTGACAGAAGTCATTTTATATGTGTATTCTTTAGGATTTAACTCAAAGACATCAGACGCTGCTACTGCAGGGCGATTGTGGCTCAAGAGTTGGGAGTTCGCCTTGTAATCGGAAGGTTGCCGGTTCGAGCCCCGGCTTGGACAGTCTCGGTTGTTGTGTCCTTGGGCAAGAAACTTCACCCGTTGCCTACTGGTAGTGATCAGAGGGCCCGGTGGCGCCAGTGTCCGGCAGCCTCGCCTCTGTCAGTGCGCCCCAGGGTGGCTGTGGTTACAACGTAGCTTGCCATCACCAGTGTGTGAATGGGTGGATGACTGATTGTGTAAAGCGCTTTGCGGTCCTTAGGGACTAGTAAAAGCGGTATACAAATACAGGCCATTTACCATTTCTTGCCTCAGCCAGAACACTGAAGATGGGTCAGTAACTCAAAACATACTGCCAAGGCAACAAAGCGGTGGCACATTAAGGCCATGTAGTGGTCTGGCCATTCTCCAGCCCCCAGTCCTATAGACAGTCTGTGGAGGGAGCTGAAGCATCAAATACCAAGTGGCAGCTAAAAAACCCTGAAGGAGTTACAGAGTTTCTTTAAAGTGGAGTGGGCCAAAAATCGCTCGTGAGATTATTTCACTCAATGCTTATTTCACTCCATTACATGCACATCAGTTAATAACTTTTATGGTTCTGTCTCTCACCATTAAAATGTTCATTTCTATTGAAGTGAATTAGCAGGGGGATCAAATAATCATATCGCCCAACGTACAAATAAGCAGATAACACATAGTATCAGAAACGCCAATGCAGTCAACTAAAATTTAACTAAAGTTAATTAAAGTGAAAAAGACTGCTAAAAAAATATATAGCAACACCTTAAAGAACTTCTTGAAACTGAAAGACAGCAAGATTTTCAGTGAGCCAAACTAGTCATTCTAGCAGTTCTCCAGCTGTTGTGAGAAATACTGATGTCATGAAAAACTGCTGAAGGCACAACACAAAGCACTCTTTAGTGAGCAGAACATGTTCCAAGTATCAGCTTCATTACCTTCCATGTTTTGTGATAATCATCTCTGTACCGATGCTGTGAAAGGACTGCCAGAGATCAGCGTTCTCCAGGGTCACCCTGATGCCACTGGGCTGGTATGGGTGAGCTAACAACGACATGCTCTCATTCAAACTGGAGTCTTGGAAATGAATAAAAAGAATACAAGTATACATGTAAACAGTTCTGCAGCTGTATTGATAGAACCTGGGAATGGTTTACTGCAGCATGAAAAGCCAACCTCCACATCTGAAGAGGCCTTCCACAGGATCAACAGTTCTCCTCAAGCCAATAAAATATGAATGTACACTCTCTCTGTAAGAGGTTACCCTTTTTTTTTTTTATTGTTGTTAGTTTGGGTGCTCATCTCGCATAAGTTATTATTCACCTACAAATCATTACATTTTTCGGACTATAAGGCGCACTTAAAATCCTTTAATTTTCCCAAAAATCGACAGTGCGCCTTATGTATGAATCTGGTTGTGCTTACTGACCTCAAACTAATTTTATGTGGTAGACGGCGCTCAAAAATCTGTCAAAAATGTTTTAGTACAACTTTGGTAAGCTAGGAACCTGCACCACTTGAAACTCTGTCCATCTATGAAAACAGAATTTATTCAATTTAACAAAGTTAGAAGTTAGCGCGCTAGTTTCCACCTAAACATGATATAGCATGTTCTGACTGAGAGATTTCTGAAACAAGTAAAATGTACTGCTCTGCTATCACTTCCAACATAAATGAAGACAGCGAAGTAAACAGCAGTGACTTTTTTTAGGGTTACTGAAGTTGGGCTACCTGGTATATAATGATGTGGTACGTGATGGCTAACGACATAGCTATGTTAGCATAAAAAATAGTGAAGCTGGAGGATGAAAATTAACTTTTTTTGTATTAGTCATTGATATAAATGGGAATAGAGCAGCTGCCAGAGAATTCAACACTAATGAATCAATGGTACGGAATTGGAGGAAGCAAGAAGAATGAGTTATCTGATGGTTTTGTTTCGCTTAATGCGTCTTATGTATGAAAACAGACTGTTCAACAGTGCGCCTTGTAACCCTGTGTGCCTTATGGCTCGAAAAATAAGGTAATTTATTGTCTTTCTAGAAGATTTTTTGTGTGTCATTTTAAACATGCACATTCATGCAGTACATGGTGTGATAACTGAACTTACCAGCGATATGGTGCAGGTTATCATGTCCTCCTGTCATCTCCATCACAATCACCCTGTGAATCCCTCAAGTTTTTAAACCAAATCCAGCCTTGAAATGGTCAAACTGTAGTGAGAACACTCAGGAGTTTATATCCTTGATCTGTGGGCCTTGAACTCGATTGGTCATAAGAAGAGGGGTGGCCTTTTTGTGGGGGGGAGGGGGTCAGAAAAGACTGAGGGGGCAGGTGAGGGGGTTTACCTGCTATTTAGTTTCTTTATTTTTCTTTTTAAAGGGCTTGGGTGCAACCATTTGTTGCTTTGTTTTTTCCAAACACTGCCATTTAAATTTGAGTCTTGGGAAGAAATACGATTTTTCCATCATATTAAACCATAAATGTATCCAATAAATTAGTATGTTCCATTCTTTATTTGGTCCATTGACTGCATTTACACGTAGATGGTAGAAATCACGTCTGAACACACCTTTAAAGCCCTCAAAGACAGAAAGGCGGTTGATTTGGCTTTGATGCAAGAACTGGTGTTCTGCTATGTTCAAGGCACACAGTATGCGTGTACTAGACCTGAAACCCATAAAAATATCAATTCCCTACTTTTCTCCTGCATTCCCAAAGAAAACGGACAGCAACCATTTAAAAAAAAATGCGGGCTGGGGGGAGGGGGGGAACGACCCCTCTCGGCAGCTTTGAATGTGTATTGAGAACAAGCTGTTTGAGAGTTTGTGTCTAGCCTTGACAATGATGCTAAACTGGCCAAATGGCCTCATTTACTCAAGCCCCCGCCACACACCCACTCACTACTACTCTCTTCCCAGAGAGTAGTAGTGGCAAGCAGTCAGAAGCCAGTTCAAATCAAAGACCGGTGGCAGAAGAGTTGAGCAGCTGTGTTAAAGTTTGAAAACCAAATGCTAAGGATAAAAACAGAAAAAGTGCAAATAGAAAACATCCCTATCTATCTATCTGAAGATCTCTCTGAGCCGTTTTTGATCAAGTTTCAATAGATTTATTTGCACTGAGAGTAATTATGATTAAAATCCTTCATCAAAATTACCACAGTTCCCAAACAGATACAAAAATGGCATAATGTGCATCTTTTAGCCTTCCTCTGCTTACAAACCACATACAGTAATTCCCATATGTTTAAAAAAAAATCACTTTAAAGAACAAAGGAAGGGGCCTGCTGATGCCAAATTTCAGAAGACAAATCTGGATGTTAAAAGTTTCTAAGTCTTTAGGAATGCATACTTCATAGTGCTGTCAGATTATTTACGGTCAGATTTCCCTCTCTACATTTTACAGCCATCTTATAAGGAAGAGTGGCTCGCTTGCCCTGTGAACACATTTCTCCTCCAAATAAAGGGCATGTTGAAACATTTCTCCTCTGCTTAAGTCAACTTCAGGCTTGAAGATGGAATTTGGTCTGCCTACGGCATGGATCACCTCTGAAAGTATGCCACAAAGTCAAGTCTGTATGGAAAAGTCATAATTTAGCTCTGCTAATGACATTTCACGAGAACAAAGCCTTTTATTAGGAACCAGTTGCTTCTTTACAGGGACATTTGATTAGCATAGTTTTGGTCCCCTTACACTGACAGTTTACTGACTTCAGAGTTGTTCAGAGTGATCACCTTCATTTAATGATGAAACATATCCATCTTCTCTTCCAGGATGACACTACCTCAACCCACAGGAGGCATCATTGGCAGTTATGTAAATCATATCCTTTTAGTCACTACTAAATCCAAGTCAGCTTTGGACCGGTGTGTTGCATTGTTCTCAACACATACAGGAAAGAAGGATTTTCAGTCCTTGTATTAAAGCTCTAGGGAACTTAAGATTAACATCAATAACATGTTGAAGAGAACATGTGGTAGCCGAACACCTCACCAAGACATTTTTGCTGAGATTTGCCTTAATTCGTCACCCATCACCAAAGTTTACATCCTCCCTTTGCACTTTTACCCATGTGATTTAAAACGAATCAAACTGAAAACCACCAAATGATGTTAAAAGGTGAAAGCCACACTATTGTAGGTTGTAAGATATTATCACTAACATTTCTTCTGCATGTCTGTCGTTTTGCTATTTCCAATGCATCAGTTCTGCTGCAGTAAAAATATCTCATGCCACAGGAAATTCTGTGGTTTCAGCAAGTTAGTCTAAACTGCAGCTCAAAGATGCAGCGCATGACATCACTACTGGTAGTTTACACACTTGGCTCTGCTCAGCTCACTACTTGGTGGGCCTTTTCCTACACAGAGGAAGTATTTGCAACCCACCAAAAAGGTTTTACCAGAGAAAAAGAGGGGAAAGCGTTTTTGTTTTTTTTAACTTTTACACCAATTCAGGATTTTTAATAATGTCAACTCTAAGAAGCATATTTGTTTACAAAATGGTCACAAATAACAGGAAAAGGCGTTGATTTTTGTCAGATAAGACGATGAATTCATCTCCTTCAAAAATACTGTAAATGCTTCAGCTAGAACCACAGTTACTGCCAAATGCAATAAATACTGAAGCACTTCCACAGGTAAGTGCTTACGAGCTTCATCTTATGATTGCCTATCAGGTATGCTTTTTGACTTGTGCTATGTTTAAAGTGATAAATGTTACAAGGCCAACAGTAATAAAATAGCTGGCTCCTTTTTTTTGAATGAAGGTGATACATGCGTGCAGATTCATGCATACAGAGATGCTGTCTGACTAACAGGATATGTGTGAAAAATGTGTGAAAAGGAGATTAAAAATTGTGAGACTGCGACGAGAATCTTTGGTCAATGCTGCCACCTACTGGACCCTAAATGGCATGAATACCTCCAAATCACTTTCCTAAAAAAAATCTGATGTCCTCCTGATCAAACGTTCTGCGAAATTAAGCCTAAAGTAAGATAATTTAATGTTCACTTGAATGTATATTTATTATGATGAGACAGAAGGATTTGTTTTTAAGTTTGTGATTAAAAGGGAGGTCCAATATTCTAAAACTGTCTGAATTATGTACAGGCTTAATGTAATGACTAAGCACACCTGTGGCTTCTGTGGTTTGGATAAAACTGGGGGCTGCCAAAGTGAACTAATGAATTTAGTATTTTGATGAAATTTTAAAATAAAATGAAATGATGTTTCTCACCTTACGGAGCAATCAGACTCCTGCGTGGACTGACAACCAACTTAAACCACCAGCAAACAATTAGCTATGGCTGGGACTGAACCAAATGATGGGTGAGCACTCAGATGCTCTAATTAGTGCTGTCAAATCCAGAAAAGTGGAAAATAGGTGCATGCTGCAGGTGGGGAAAGAAAGCTTAATTGACAAAACTATTATTGCTACCAAGAAGCAGAAGACAAAACTGAAGTAAAAGGATTCTGTGAAGGTAAAGGAATCAAATCAAATCCATTCATTTCATTGAGAATTCAAATTTATTTATGTGGCTTTGAATGCAAACAACAGCTGCCTGTCTCTAATACTGTAAGGTAGTCCCTACAGTATTAGAGACAAGGCCAGCAATCTGATGATCCCCTATGAGCAAGCACTTGGCAACTGTGGGGAGGAAAAACTCCCCGTTGGGAAGAAACCTCCAGCAGAACCAGGCTCAGGAAGGAGCAGCCTTCTGCCGTGACTGGCTGGGTTTTCAACTGTTGTTTGCATGACTGAGATGGTAAGAGCCTAATTAACCCCATTATACCCCAATTATTAGTTATTTCCCTATTAAAATCGTCATAGTCCAGTTAGAACCAAATGAAGTTGGCACTGACATTAGGTTGTCTTCACCTTTTCCATTTCCATAGAGGAAAATTAAAGGTATTGTGCTAAAAATGAAAGTAAATAAATTAATATATCTCGAATTGTGTCGACCAAGAACAATAAAATGCAAAGGTAACCGCAAATACATCCTACAGCATGTGACATCAGGTGTGCCACACAATGTCTGACCTCTTCGACCATTTTCCAGAACATGGGACGAATAGCCACAATTGCTGACTTGCACATGTTAGACACTGTGGTAATGGATTTTCCTGAAAATCCAGTTCCTCTCCTGATGATAGAAACCCCATTATGTTCTTCTCTCCCTTCCAAGGGAGGCCTGTCTCTGTTCCCAATTTCATCATGGTGTTCTGAGACTCTTTGACTAGGTCTTAGGTCTGGGATCGTGGATTCAGCAGGGTCTGATGCATCTCGATTTGAATTTTCCCATAGCTGATGTCTTTGAATCACAGAAGGCTGCTGCTGTATATGTTCAGGGTGAAGAATTTCACACACTTGGTTTAAACCGCTATTCTGATTATGGTGTCCTCTGGAGCTGCTGAAGCGGGGTTCAGGTATATGCTGATCTTGCAATGGTACCTCATGTTCCGCGTGTAAAATTTGGTTACCACAGCGAGCTTCAGGTGCCTCGCATACAGTTTGGTCAGCAGTGGGTGAACGTTGGTCATCAAATCCCAACGTTTTTCTCATAATTTTGTGAGTATAAGTGCCCACAGTGCAAATCGCTCCCCAAACGGAGTTTGACATGTTTACAGATGACGAGTTCTAACTACACGCGCAAGATTAATGAAAACTGTTTTCTACGTGCGACCGTCCTAAAGGTAAACTGTGTTGAAGCACCTCTATTTATAGACTCATGTGGCAGAGATGGTGACGTCAACCGTCACGGGAGACTGTGACGTGCGGTCGACCGTCACGTCACAGTCTCCCCTTTGAGAAGATCAAAGAATAGCTCCGTGTCATTCCGCGCATGCTCAGATCATGCGTATTGAAATGAACGGGATATTTATTTGTTCATTTTAAATACCTTGCTATATAACAAAGGCGACTGCGCACTCAAAGGACGAGGAGAGTTCAAAATAGGGCTGTTCGATATAACGACACATATGGATGACGATATGAAAAAGTCTATCGCTTCATATTACGGCAATATTTTTTCATGGTTTTTATGGCTGTATGCCAATTCAGGGTCTGCAGCCTTAAAGTACGCGGCCTCAATGGTCCTCAAGGGCCGCGTACTCAAAGACCGCTAAGGCCGGAAGTGCGAGGCTTGTGAAATGGGACGGTCTAGCCTCCGTCGCGCTGCCCAGGTTGCCTAGCAACCATGATAGCTGGAAACGTGTGGTTGACAGAAATTAAGGAGAACATATTTTGTTCGTTTGTTTGTTTGTTTCTACATGAGCTTTGTGTCATTTAATAAGCATCTGAGGCTGAGACCACAGGACTGTAAAACATGATTGTTGCATGCTTGCATATTTCTGAAAACATCTTAGTGGTGTGGCAGCCATGGGTTGAGCCAGCCCTGCAAACCCTGTGGATGGACGATGCAGTGGACAGTGGGAGGAAGCATCCTAAAGCTCTCTTTGCAGACCAGCCTGTGTGATTCTCCACTCGCCGACCAGAAAAGCCAAACGGCGGGTCTCAGTTGCAGCACTACATCATGCAGGTAGCTGTTCAGGAGACACTTGTGCAGCAAGCCTGGCTCAGACACAGGTTCCTGAAAGCTCCCCGTCTGCACCTGTGCCTTCAACTGTTTCGGCTTGTCCTGCTTGTGCCGCCTCCTCTCCTTCTTCTTGGTAGACATCAAGTGTTGCCACACAGATATTATGTGGAGGATGCAGCAGGCCCCCACAACTTTGGGAGGAAACAGAGGCCGACCCTCAAGGGCTCACAAGAAGATGGAGTGCCAGCGTGTTTTGAGGATGCACAAAGTAGGATCTTTAATATTTCTGGCCTTTGCTGAGCTCTGGCTCTGCTAGTTTCACTGTTTCTCTGTTGGGGAATCCTCTCACACTCAAACTGTGAAATATGCTCCACTCCAGTCCACTGAATGGCTGTGGAAAATATGAAAGAGGACATAACTTTACACATTAACTTCTAACAATTTAAGCCCAAAGAGTCATCCTGAGAAATGTCATTTAATATGCAGCATTTCATTATCACGTTAAAAAACAAACAAACCCCACATACTGCTGAAGTTGCTGCTCTTTGAGATTAAAAGATCTCATTACATTAACAGAAACACTGACATCCCTGCTCTACAGCTTTGCATTCAGGGGGTGTCCTTGTCACAAAGATCAATTCAGACACTGAAATCTTTTCAATTTTCTTTTTTTATTAATTTAAAATTTTTTTCCAGATGTCAAACACAAAGTATAGATATCAGCACCTTGGAATCTACTGTGATGGCTTAAAAAAGTTGGAGGTCCAACAGCTTTGTATTGAAGCTCCCTCACACCTACAATTAAAATTTTAGTGTTGAAAATAATACATTTTATCTGTCAATACAAATGTCTGAGAATCTTTACCAATAATGCACCATTACATTTTGATCACTTCAGCTGTTGGTTATCGGCAACTGCAAAAGTTACCAGCCTGGCAGAGGGCATTTCATCAAAACAAAGCTTCTTAGAAAGTAACACGTCTATGACCTGGATAGAAAAGAACCACAGACTGAATACAAAGGATGGATTGTAGCCACTGAAATGAGAAAGAAAGTGCAAGCCTTTGCTGTTCCAGGACAGCAGGAGCTGAATGTAAAGGAGAAAAAGTGGAGGGTTTGGATGCTACGTCCATCTTTTGCATACAGTCTATCATCTAAACAGAGAGGCAAGTGACCTGCAACAGTCATCAGTGTTTCAGGAGCTTTTTAAAGGCGACGTATTACACATAAGAGCCAGATAAAATGAGCTGTTATGAAGAGTGTTTAAGAGAATTTCTGCTCTGCACTGGTCTAATTGCAGCTTTGACCAACAATCATTGTCTTACCACTTTGTTCAATCATCATCATTACATTCATGAACCAGGCTTATAGCAGCTGGTATTCTTGTTCATCTAAATACAACAAAACCCCCCAGAGAGATAACATAAACTGATTAATATTACTATCAATTTCCCTTCAAGTCCATCATACATAATCAAAGCAAACCCTGGAAAATAACAACCTAAAGAAAACACTGATGATATAACTGCAATTGTGCAATATTTAGAGACAAGTTATCTGCTGTGGTCACACAATGCTCTTATAACACTGTAATAAAACTTAACTCATGGATCAACATGTGGCATACACCAATCAGGCATAACATTATGACCACTAGCAAAGTGAGTAACACTGATTCAGACTATTCAACACGGAGGCCACACCTGGCATCTTGGTGCCAGATATCACGTGATGGGTCAGGGCCGCTTTGGCAGCAAAAGGGCGACCAACAGTGTTAGTTAGGTAGTCATAATGTAATGCCCGATTGGTGTATCTGAAAGACTGAAATGAGACAGAATAAGGAGCCTTTCGTTCAATAAGGTCAACCTGACAGAGAGAAATAGCAGAGCCTTAAAATTTTCCATGATAGAGGACGTTTGTTCTATAAATTATTACATTATTTCTCCAAGAAGGAGCTGAGGCCGCTTTTACCTTAATGCTACATAAAGTATAGTTGTGTATCGTTTAGGGAGTGGGTATGTTTTGGACAGCTAAACCTGAGGTTTCTTTGTGAGCCACTTCCCCGTCTTTGTGGTTTGTTGAAAACGAAATGTACAGTGGCTGCAGCTCCTCTCTGGAACCACGCTGTTAGACAATAACTAATTACATTATTTCTCCAAGAAGGCGCTGAGGCTGCTTTTAGCACGGCGGGCCTTCTCTATGCTCTCAAAGGTTGGAGTCCCTTGAGGTAACTGTAGACGGTCATTTTCAGTCTCCATGATATTCTCAGCTTCCCCTAAAGACATCATGAAAAACACATTTAATGGGTATAATTAGTGACTGCAATCTTTTTTAAAAATGTCATTAATGAATAACTAAACACAATATTTGTTAAACATTTAGATGCATTATTTGGTAAACAGTAAGGTCCATTTGGACAGAGACTTTTTCTTTTTTTGCATTTTGGTTCTGTTCATTACCACAATTAATTTTAAATATAACAACTTTAAATATAATTAACTCAGATCCAGTTGAACTGCCGACTCTCAGCCTTAATTCAGTGGGTTGAACAAAAAGATTGCACAAAAATGTGAGAACTAAAATGCAATCCCATCATTTCAGGACATCAAAAGTAACTGGACAAATAAAATAAAATGTATTCATTTGAATCGTGCTAATGCAAGTGCCACACCTCAAATCAACTCCAGGGCTTCTATCTGCTTAATTGATAATGACATAACAAAGGAAGTGCCCACACCTGCCCATGAAATAGCCTTTCAGTCAAATGTCCAATTACTTTTTGTCCCTTTAAAAAGCGGGGGGCACACGTTAAGGGGCCGGAACTCCAAAACCTTCATCCGATTTGAATGTGGATTTTCTCATATGAAAGCTGGGCGTCTACACATTATATAGATGCCCATCATAGCGGAAAGTGGAAATTGTTTTGGTAAACAGACACTATTCACGTATTTAAATATATATATGGACCTAACTGTATATTAGAGCCTGTGTTTTCTGGATATAGTGAGTCTGTGTTCTGCTGTTCAAAGTAAAATAATCCTCTAAAACCAAAGCAAAGAATCACTATATAATGCTTGATAAGGATTTATTTACCCGTCTGTGCACCCTCTTTTTAAATGTTAAACGGGTTTCCTTAAGATGATGATGCCTGTAAGTGTGTAGCTTTACCTCTCATACGATTAATAAGCGTTCCATAGGCGCTGTCCATCTGGTAGGCAAATATGAAACTGAGAGGTATGATGGGAGCCAGCATGCCTGGGTTCTTTCTTTTAATAGCTCTAAAGAAAAATGATGATAAACAGAAGACAATATTTAACTGCAAAGATAAAAGCACAACACAGAGATGAGTCTGTGTGTGTTTGTGTCAGATCTTTGTGAGGCGTTAGAATCTCACCCTGCAGTTAGTCCCACTGTGGCCACCGCAAAGAAACTGCCAAAGTATTTCAGAAACTCTCTGGACCAGGCGATCTGCATCGCCATCTGCCGCTCTCTCATCTGGTTCTGCATCAGAATCTGGCGCTCCATCTGGGCACATGCACGCGCGCACACAGACACACAAAAATAAATTAAGAAGAAATGATGAAATAAAATTTTCCCTGCTTGGTAAGATTTCATTTTCAGTTATAATCAATTTCAGTCAATTACTGTTGATCAGAGCTGTAATAATCATCTGATTCATCAGTTAATTGTTTTATGAGAGTACAGACAGTTTAAAAGAGATCTCCATAAGCACCAAAGGCTTAGTACTTTTTTAAAAAAGCCCCTAAAAACTTGTAGGAAGTGTAGATTACGTGAACAGAGATGTGATTAGTTGGGAGCACAGACCTTCTATGTATGCTTGAGAAGTTTCTTTGGAATTTTTTTTAAGTCATGAAACTAAACCCTGGAATCCACTGCTGTAAACATGCCAACTACAAACACTACGCTCTAGGGAAGGAGGAAGTGACAAACTTTTCATCTCCACAATCTGGGTGTTTCGTACTCCTGACATCGACTCTTGGCTGTACACTCTTTAGGTTCAATGGAAATTACAGGAATGACTTCTGTAATTGACAGTGTTTGTTCTTTTAAAGCCAGCATCCGCTGAAACAAACTAGTGAGTAGTCTGAGCACACTTAAGGGTGTCCCCCTTTAACGGCCCATGTTGTGAATGAGTGAAGAATGCAATTATGAAAAGAAAGCATTTCCCGCTCCTCCACACCATGTGTATGAGCTGCAGGAACGGGAAATGGGGTGACACGTTCGCTGAAAGGTCAGCTTTCATGACGGCTTCATCTGGGTCACAAAAAAGGAAGTAAATGGAAGATAGAGGATGTTAAATTTGAATAAACTATCCTGAAACTCACTCCAGCATCTAAGTACATAGATGCTGCAGGGTCTCCATCTTATAAAAATGAAGCAGTTCAATATGCCCATATACACAAATACGTAACATAAGTAAAGATCACTGCACATCTTTGCTCAGCCACCAGTTTCACATTATTAGTTAGTTTGTCTCCAAAGCACTCAACCTGAAATGGCCCTCTGATGTACTCATTCCTAATCATGTCCTTCATGGTCACTCCAAACAAAAAAATCTTAACATCTTCAACTCTGTCACCTCCAGTTTTCCAAACCACACATCATAGCATCTTAAAAACCTTTCCTTTCAGTCTGTAACTATCCATCACAAATTACCGCTGACACTCGTCTCCACCCACTGTTACTTTGGATGGTTGGATGCTATTTAAACTCATCCACTTTCACTGCCTCTGCTCCTTCAATATTCTGCCCATCTCCCTCTCATTTTTGTGCTGATGCCAAATGACTCATGAGTGTTTATAATAATGAACACTTATAACAACAATAATAATGATAATGTGTCATCTACATTAAAGACTTCAGGGTCTTTGTATAACATTCTTTACCATTTTCTGTTTCTACAGGCTGTTTGTATGGGATAGCTACGAACCCATAAGTGATAAATTAGCCCTATTAGTGTAGATGTGCAATTCAAAACTAGACAAACATATCTGCTGGTGGGAATATCAAAAGGAAAAGATTTGGTTTTGGCAAGCTCAGACAAGCAGCAGACTGTGACTCTGGGACAGGACTGGAAAAAGCAGAAATGAACCAACGCACTCTGAGGGTGACATTTGTGAAGGGTGCAAGTATGAACACAAGGCGGGACACTAACTTGAAAACAGATGCACACAAATCATCATGATCTACACATTGGAAGAAGGAAAAGAAACAGATGTAACATGTGAGAAAGAAAAGCAGAGCAAATACATGCGGGAAATATGTGCAGCAGGTATTCCTGATGAATAAAAAATATTTCATGTTAGGGTTTTTTTTTGTGGATTAAGGTTTTTTTTTTTTTACATGTTTGCAAACTTTGACTTTTGGGCACTCTGTATGCTCTCATGCTTTTAAAAATGATTTGTCCAAAATTGGATATGGAGTAATGTTCCTAAATGCACTAGTAAATCCACAAAGAAAGGACTCAAGGACCTGAGGCGCCTAACCAATGCTAAGATTTCAATTCTATTGAAATATTGCCAGGGGATTGAAAATAGGCATTTAAAAAAGCATCTTACAGTTACAGTAATTTGGAAAGATTTCAGAAAGCTTTGACCCTCTTTGACTCCATCTTTCCAAAGAAAGTTCCTCCTGCTTAAGACAGCAATATGAACATCTGAGCCCAGTGGTGTATTTCCACAGAAGAATTTCTTTCTTTTGTGACTAAAAATTGAGGAAGAGTGAGGTTAAAGCTGAGTGTATGCTCACCCCAGTCCAGAAGCCATAGCATGATCTTCACCAGGGTAACAAACTTTTTCTACCTGTGCAAGTTTCCTCTTTAAGTAGAATCACAGTGGTACCTGCTGTGAAATCACTTTGGGCTGGTTTTTGACTTTGGTGTGTAGTAATACTTAAACACTAAAAGAAAGATGGTATGCGTGTCGTCATTAGGACAGGGGTTTGTGTCAGTGTGTGGGACAAAGGAAGTAACGCACAGTGATCACACTACTCGGACAATGAGCAGTGTAGTTAATTACCTCCTCCAGAGAGTAGTGGGAAAGTAGTGGGTCTAAATGGATTTGGTTGTAGTCATAGAGATTAAAAATGTTTGCAGACCTACAGTTGCTGTGGATGTCTCCTGTACTCATGGAGCTGATACAAAAATAATGCAAATAAACAAGTGCACAATTTTAACTTAGTCCGACATCATTTCAGCATCTGCAACTAGTACAATTTCAAAGTATGAAGATAAAACCTTTTGGTGGGAAGGTTTGGGGCAATTTTATGTGTTAAAAAATAATTAAAAATCTGCTTTTTTTTTTTTGCTTTTTCACTTTCACCATCTTTCACTAGTGAAAGATGTCACAGCAGAGGTCAGAGGTGATGTGCGAGTGGGTGCACTTTCACTCACCTGCAGCCGTGCATTCGTTAGCATGAATTCTTGTTGCTTTTTTAAATTGTCATCCATGGATTTGGACAGCAGGACACCCATGGCTGCGTTGGCGTTTCTGTGAATTAAACACGCAGGCATTCAAACGTGCTGCTCTGCTCTCATCACAACAGCAAACAAAATTCCAGAGTCGGGCTTAGAAAAGCCACCTGCTTCAAACTGGATTTGTTTCAGCATGTAGTGACCTCTTCAGTCCTTCAGTGTCTCTTCACTTCAGCTTTAGCTTTAAGCCTCAACTCATTTTAAGCTTTCCCGTTAAGTTAGCGAATAACAACACGACTACTGTCTTTAACCTAAATGAAACTGTTGTCCGTATAAACTTTTATATTTCATGACAAGTTGGAGAACTTAAAATAAAAGCTTTACATACCCCAAACACTTTGAAGACTGTAAGCTAAATGCTGGGGAAAGGACTCCGGAGTGGATCGTCAAAATAAAAGCTACGCGCACTGCCTTTTTAGCGGAAGGAAATGACGTCTTACTTCCGGCTAAACTAACTGTTTTTTTGTTTTATTCATTCATTTATTTGCATTCGAAATATAAAGAGTAAGTTGAATGAAATGAAAATAATAAAACATAAATAATAGAAAACAACAACAACAAAGACTGTAATACAATTAAAACACACAGGAAATAGTTTTTATAGCTTTTCATTTCAGTTTTAATTTTAGTCACATTTGTAAAACACTTATTTTAAAACAAACACAAAAGCAAGTTGACAAGATCAACCAAAACAAAACAAATCTATGATGATTTTGTCAAAGTATAGGAAGGGACCGAATGATTACTTGAAGGCTAAAGTGACTTAGATGGTGTAGTTTGGCTCCCTCTATTGGTTCTCATGGGTCACTTAAATAGTAGCGTTACACGTTGACTCGTTGAATGAATGGCTTGATTTAAGATACGTAAACTCCGGGTGGTGGAGAGTTTTTATTAAAGCAATAATAATAATAATAATAATAATAATAATAATAATAATAATATAGCAGCCTAGTAGTCTCTTAAAACCTTTGGATTGAATGGTAACTGGGTTAATTATACAAGGGTTTTACTTCAGATAGCTTTGTTTTAATCATTGACAGTATAGTTTTAATCTTGAATGATCATCAATGGAAGATCATTCAAGATTCAATGAAAATTATACATATATTAATGCATATGACACCAATTTGTAAGCTAAATATTTAACAGTGCGGATGGTGGATACATGACCAGCAGAGAGAGGGACTGACTTTCAAAATGAATTCCTGTCAGTTTTATTTATTCTTGTATTTGAATAACGGAGTAGCATTAATTTAGCACTAGTAGTGATATAGTTTGAGATATACTCGGAGCTGCGGTGGACTTTGATGAATTCTGAAACTTCTTCTCTCCTGAAAGTGAAACAGAAGTTAAACTGCCAGATGAAATTTCATCTAGTCACGGCTGGAGTTTTTGGACTTTGAACCACCTGAGCCATCAGGTGTGACATGATCCTACCATGAATTTGTGGGAAAAATAGCATCCCATGCTTGTTCTTCTTCAGTTTTCCCCTCTGAATTCATGAATCAAAAGCAAAATGAACTGGACTTATGTGATAGTTTCATGCTGCAGTGACTCATATCAAGCCAAGCTATCATGTACCATCAGTGAATTACAACGGCAGTGGGAACTTCTCATCTGTCACCTTCCTGGCAACTTCACATGACAAATGCTAACTTAAATAAACCGTGTAGAGATATGTCACACAGAGAAGTCACAGTGTTAAGTACATGAGTGAACGGTTGTCACTGCGGACAAAACTTCTCCGTATTACATCTGTTTATTTTTCTTTTTGAATACAATAATTTACTTATTAATAATTTCAATTAATTACATTTAAAGGAAAAATAAATAAAAGATGTCATGTCAGTGTTTCAGATATCCTTGCCTCGCCAACACCGTGTCTTTGTCATAGTACCTTTTACAGACAGACAGCTATTTTACCTGTTTTCCGTAAGTGAAAAAGACTGTGAAAATAAAGCTTCTCGTCACATTAGCTGATATTCCTGATTCAGCCAAGAGGTAAGCACATGGGAAACCCAGAAATGTTTTATGGTTCGATGTTATGCAGGTTGGCACAGGATAATGTCTGGATGACACCCTGCTGTATATTCCACATGAGGGATGACTTGACATGCAGGTAAAAATTCCCTCAGATAAGGTTATTTCATTCAACTCCAGCTTTCCAGCTTTCAGCACATGACTTGTTAAGTGTTGTGTAAACATCTTGGTTTTGCGCGTGTGTTGATTTAAACGGTACTTTTTTACAAATACATTTACATGCCAAATGAAAATTCCACAGTATTGACTGCTCTGGGGTATTGAGTCAAATACATGTGACTTAAACTCATTGGGCAAAATTCTGCTTTGTTTAAATTTACTCGTTAATATTGCACTATGGCTTTTGTCTTTATATGCAATACTTCTCATCAGAGTAGCTGTTATGTTAGGGTGGCATAGTGCTGTCATGGTTAGGACTGTCCCCTCACAGCAAGAAGGTCCTGGGTTTGGGTCCTGCGTGGACTTTGAATGTTCTCCCCATATCTCCCCGTGTGTGGGTCTACACCGGGTATTCCTGCTTCCTCTCACAGTCGGGTGGATGGATGGATAAGAAATGCTGAGGCAGCAGTACTTTCAGAGCTCATTTAACAGCTTCACAACCAAAGGTGGACTCAGCACCCACCTATAGCTCTTCTCATGGTCTTAATGCATGATCACTACACAACTTCATCAGTCAATCGGTCTGTTGGTTGACTTTGAATGATCCCCTTAAAACTAATACGTTGGCTTTGCTATATGAATTTTGCAACCCAACCTAATTTAGATCAAGTAGTTATGTATTTTATCTTATTCTTTTTCTTTCTGGATATTGTTTATTGTTGCCGTCATTAGTAATACTGAAAAAGTAAAACTTTAGTAGAGAAGCTTTGGTGGGATCCAACTTCTTCCAGGAATGTGCCTGATTTACTGCCAGCACAGGAACCAAGCTCTAACTGGAACTGAAACAATGAGCAACACCCTGGTGGAGTCAAATGTCTTCTCCAAGCCCACAAAACACATATAGACTGTAAACGTGTAGACACATAGCCACCTAGGTGAGGGGTTTTTAGGCATGTCCTGCTGGGAAGAAGACATGGGGGAGACCCAGGACACACTGGCCTGGTGGCCTAGGAGGGGATATGTCTCTGCTTAGACTTCAACTCTGATGACCCAGATCCAGAAAAGAAGATCGATAGATGGATAGATTCTGAGTTAAAAACTTAATCAAAGAGTTCCAGAGACACTATTAATAACTGTAGTTTTTAGAGGTGTTACGTGATAATAAACTATACTAAACACTTTTAAGGGGAATGAGTATGGCAAACACTGAGCTGAGGTTAACAAGATCATGTCTTGCTCATTACTTACCATCAACAGCGTATTACTATGATGTAGTAGAGGGGAAAACCTTAGGTACTGGCCCTGCTGGTGTTAAGTATGGAAAGGAAGGATAAAGCATTAATAAGTTACTAATAAAGTGATACTGTGCTATTAATAAGCAATTTGCAAATGATAAATATTTAACTTAGCATGCTGAAATTCAAATAGTTACATGCAGTTTAAAAAGAACATCTATGAAGACAATGAACAAAAATTACAAAGTATTATAGTATAGTATTTAATTTTTGGTGCTTCAACCCTGAGTCAAAGTATAAAAAAAAGCCAACGACATCATTGATTGATTGATCTTAACCATAACCCATGGTAGTAGTTAATTAGTTTTCTCAAGTCTTGATAACCAGAGAAATGTAACCATTAGCCATTATAAGTGGTACATTAAATAAATAAATAAATACATTTTCTAAGAAAAAAGTCCTTCTTGATTCTTTCCCCCAAGTTATAGAGTTAGGATTATGACCTTAGACCGAGAGTTCAGGTGCTGCTGCTGGAATTTTACTTATTATTTACACTAAAATATTTACACAGCCTATTTTCTTTAAGTAGAGGATATCTTTGCTAACTCTTTCATCACTAATGATGATATTGTTACGAGTTTTACCTGGATTAATATTTACAGTAAGTGGTCAAACTGGGTGATACTAAGGTAGTATAAAAAATTCCCGATAAAGGACGCCATAGTTTGGGAGTCCTGACCACATAGACAGAAACAAGTGCGTTAAAAAAAACCCACAAAAAACTAACCAGTATTAGTTTCGGACACAAGCTACAGGACTCGAATGTTGCTCAATATGTGTTTGTTGATCATTAATGTTTGAGCCACTATATTTGGAGGAGTTTACTGTCGGGAACATTTTGATCGCTTCTTTATCGGTGTGTTACAGTAATCACAAGTCAGCTTCCGTGTGAGCAGCGGAGAGTTAATTTGGAGCCGTCTAAGGTTTCCACGAAAAAACACGCCGTAATTTCATAAAGAAGTTGAGCTGAGTACAGTAAAGGAAGGAGGCGTGGCCACTTCTCCTGCCTTAACTGTTCGAAGGGACTGACGGAGGGAGTTCAGATCACATTTAGAGCTCAAGGAAGAAGGAAATAACTAATGAGAACACAGCTGGCTGTTTTTGAATGACCTACAGGTAAGAGGACATATTATTTATTTAGGACAACTCAAAAATGTATATATATATACACATATATATTTTTAACACTAGAGCAACACCATCAATAATAACAATATTAATAATGATAAAAATAATAATGTAAAGATATTCTATGTTCTGTATCTTTTTGCATGTACAAATGAGCCATTTACATTTTTTCTGTTTTTACACGGGCCATCTATTTTTGATGTTAACATTTATTTTTGTCTTTGGATTCTGTTTCGACTCATCTGATTTATCTGTGTATGCATACACGTACTCTAAAACTCCCTTACTATCACGTATCAGATAAGACTGGTTAACCAAACAGATGACAGATCTTAACAATCAGAGTTCTGCAGAACTGTAGTTGTCTTTCCAAAAATGTCTATTTATATCCTACTTACTCATCTATCAAAGTTGCTTACTGTGTAAGCAAACAAAGATGCTCTTGTACACATTTGCAGTTGCTGTTAAGTTATATTTTTTCCATAGAAGCCTGGTACAGCTACACTTCCAGATATAATGGTGTGGTGGAAAGATGTTTTATGTAGAGAGGTGGGCTGTTATATGAGGATGGTGCGGTTGAAGTGTGCTGGCATGGCTTCAGTGTCAAAACAAAAACTTCCCTGTGTTATTTTTTCCTGTTATAAAAGATAAAGAAGAGGGAAGTACTTCTTTGGAGCTGAGTCATGCTAGATTGGGATTACCATGTGATATAGTGTCACACAGCTTTTTGCCAAATTAAGAGGCAAACAAGGTCACACTGCACATCTGGTTTTCTTCGGTAAAGTGACTCATGTTTCATCACTAAAGAATCTCAGCATCTGGTAATAATCCCTTTTTTCATCCTCAGATCTCAATGGACTGGGCCCTTCTTATAGTTTTACAAGTGTTATTTCAGCCCTCTCTCTCAGGTGGGTGGTAAATACATTTTTTGGATATGTAGAAGCAAAGTCAGAACAATAACTACATATTTGACACGTGAGGCACTTACAGCTGCAGAGTGAGATTATGTAAAAAGTATAAGATGCTTGTAAACATTTTAAGACTGGAGTGTTTACCTTCATCTTGGCATTATTTTGTGTCATTTCCGTGCAGTCTTATTCACTGTTGAGGCAGAGCAAAGCATGTATACGTCAGAGTTTGGAGAAAGTGTCGTGATGGGCTGCAAGTTCAACCCTAAACCCTCCTATCCTCATCCTGACCTGAACGTGACCTGGCACTGGATCAACTCTGACTCCGTTCAGGACGTGATCCGGCTGGATAATGGCGTGCCGCGCTCGGAATCTCCAAAGTATCGGGGACGAGTGCAGCTTCTGACCGAGGAGCTGGCGGAAGGCTGGGCTAAGCTGAAGGTAATTCCTGGCACTGAGCTACTCAGACTTACATAACACATGTTGGACGGCTTACCACTTAATTCCTACTAACTTTACTCCGAGCATTAAGCTTGTTTAAACTTGCCAGCTCTTCTTCATCTTTTTAAAAATTACTCTCAACAGGTTTAAATTCCCTAGAAAGTGCCACAGGATAACTTTACTGGAACTTTACAGGGGTGTATACTCATAAAATGACTAAGTCTGTTTAATTTTTTATATTATAGTACAGAATAAAACCCTAATAAGAGAGTCAGAGGGAGGGATAGAGCTGAAAAGTTTTCCATTTTGGTTTCTTTAAGAGGGCATAACAGAGGACTCTTGTTCTTTTGTCACTTTACAGATGTCCAGTCTTAGAATCAGTGACGCCGGGAAGTACCAGTGTGTGGTTCATTCAGCGGATGGAGCCGACTATAAAACTATAGCCTTGTCTGTTGAAGGTGAGAAGTACATGTGTTGCAGTGTAGGCCTGTTACTTTTCTTTTCTGAAGATTTCACAAGCATTGTTCTGGGAATGGTCTCGTAACTGCCAAAGCGCATGGTCATTTCTGGCCAGTTAAAGTTTCACTCAAACTGAAACTGAAATAAAGACCACTATTAGTCAATTTTGTAAAAAAAAAAGAAAAGAAAAAAGAAAACAATCTTTGACAAACTCAGCACATGCTGTTATCAATCTTGTGTTACAATAGAACGTCATTTTCTTCCCTAGCATCTTATAAATCAGTGACCAAACACATTGAGAGGGCAGCAACAGGTGATGAGGTCCTGATAACCTGCCAGTCTGAGGGATACCCTAAGTCAACGGTTGAATGGCAGAATGGAAACCTGAAGACACTCAATCCCAACACCACTGCTGAATCAACACCAGACCAGATTTTTAGAATCACCAGCCAGATAAAAGTCAGCTCATCAGAAAAAAACAACTACACCTGTAAATTTACAAAAGACGGCATCTCTGCAACAATTTATATTCCAGGTAAGCGTTCGTTTCCAGTCTTGAAATGGTACATGGTATTTACATGTCCTCCTGCGTGTGCATGAGAGTTAGATGCAGCTTATAGCTGTGCCTTTGAGATCAAAAGGAGGGCTTCCTTTCAGGAAGGCATTGCAGAAGTGGATTTCTTCCAAAACAATACTCACAATATTTAACAGGAAGGGGGATGTAACATAATCCCAGCTTTTCCAGGTGGGAATCATCCAGCTGTACTGTGTGCCTCCTTTAAAAAAAAGGAGAGAAAAGGCTCCAACATTACATACTGTGCCTGTTTAACTGATCAGAAAGTGAAATAGATTTTTTTTAAACAGTCCCCAAAAGAGCAGACGACACTAAAGTTTAAGTGAAGCTCTAAATGTTCAAAGCTACCACAGGAAATATGTTCTCATAACCTGTGTTCCTGTCATCACCAACTTCCTGTTATGATTAGAATTTTGATTTGTACATGTTGGCTTTTATCCCCACCCTACATCAAACTGCAGAGACTTAGATATGTAGATATGACTCCCCCACTTTTTCCACTGCTTTCCTGGAATTCAAAGACCCTCCCATGTGTTTCTGTGAAGCCGGTGGGTGGTGTGTGTCTGGTGTGTGGATGTAGGTGCGTAGCAAATCTTCAAATGTGAGACTTTTCCGTGTCTGCATGTAGGGTGCTCATTGTTTTCACACCAATATGGAAAAAATATATATTTAATCATAACACGTATCGAAACCATTTCACTTTTAATGTGCTTTGCGTGTGTCATATTTATTTCTTTGATGAAAAACTAGCCACATTTTCCCATGCGGTATTTCCCACAGGAAGCTTTATTGTAAGTCATATTGTAATGATAAACACAAAAGGGTTTAATGATGATCCTGTTGAGGGAAATGAGAAATATATTTTAATTCATTTCTTATACATATAAAATGTTCAATGCTAGAGTAAGAGAAATGTATTTTTAATACAAGAACAAATAAATAAATACATAAAATATGTGAAAGAAGATATTTTTATGTGATCATATCTGCCATTGCACCAGCATAACGAGGCACTATAGCTGCCATAAGGTTTTGTCCTTGACCAGCAAAGGGGAAGTTTGTGGTTATATGCCTTTGGTATGTTTGGTTATTTCCAGAGCGGCTAAAATTGCTAAAGCATAGATATTACCATGAAATACTAATCCCACAATGTTTTGACTCTTTTCACAGATGAAATACCACTTAGTCCTGCAAAAAGTGATGCTGTCATCATTATACTGTGCATAGCAGTGATAGTGGCATTCGTCTCTGTCGGAGTGGTCACCTATCGACGACGAAAAGGTAACCAATCAGTCCCTCAGTTCAGCACAGACAGGAATGCTTACATATCCTGTGTCGTGCTGCAGACAGAAATGTTGGTTTCAAACAAAATGATGGGTAACAATTTAGTGAGGTGTTAAAATACCACAGATAGCAGCAGTTATCTTGAATAATGGGCTTAGATAAAAACAGTTATCTCAAACAATGGATACTTTGCAAGATATTTAAGAAACAAATTCAAAATGAAAGCCAGTCATCTTGCAAAACCTGTAATACAACATGTAGGTGATCTTAATGCAAACCTGCATTTCCCTTTGCCACAAAAACAGACAAAGTATTTAACACCTCGCTGCAAATGCTCGCTCTGGTTTCATTTTAAACATTCAGTAAAACTGCATAAAATGTGCAACGACAGAGCTGACATCGGCTAAATGATTTTAACTTTAATGCCCAAGAAAAACCAAAACTTTGTTGTTGGTCTTGTGCCAAACAGCTCACAGACAATCTGAATTCATTACTCAGCACTGCAAAACGTATCTTTCCTGTGTCAAAGGCTGCGCAGCTCTGACTGGGAAAAAAAAGAAAAGAAAACAACACATGCATACTCCCGGGAACACTGGTGACACTGTAGGTCATGTAAAAGAGGAAGCATCTGTGAACGTTTCAGGAGGTTCTTGTCCGATTTGTTCTATAATGCTTGTGATTTGAACAAAACTTTGCTGGAAATTCTTTAGCATGTGACCTGCAGTGTTTTTTTTTCTTTTTGGTGTGACCATGACTTAGCTTTTTACATTCTACTGCGTTTCGCAACTATCAGACCAGACCGGCTAGATTGTGGGAAACACCCAGTGTGGTTTTAGTTTATCTACAAGGGGAATTCAAAGCTAATTGTAAACGCATGGGTGATTTTTTCAGCACGAGTTTATATTATTGTTCACACACCTCACTCAAGTTCACTGGAAAACTTATTAAACATATTTTCACATATGAATGTGTAAAAATGACGTTTTACTTACAGATAGATCAGGGAACTGTCACACAGTTATCAGGAAGGCATGGATCTTTATTGTGGTGCTTTCAAGAGCATATGATAATATTGGACATTTTGAGGAATAATTGAAACTTCAAAGCCAAAATATTAGAATCAGAATCACAGAGACTTTATTAATCCCAGAGGGAAATTGAGTGATCATATCTGCCATTGCACCAAGCACTGATTTAAAATAAAGTGTAGAAACAGACATATCGATACAAAAATATAGAGAAATACAGAGATATAGGTATAAATATACGTACCTATTTTAGCAAATATAAGGTCAATTAAAGAATGTATAATTCAAAACAAACCAAACCCAACAACCTCCATACATTCAGTGTATCAGTGCTTAAAGATTACATCACCTGCTGTACCAGTATGTTGCATTAAAGTGCACTTTTTTGTTACAGGGTCCCACAATCACAGCACTCACAGCACCAGGAACCTCCTGGAAAGACCTGCTCCTACCGCTGCTTCCCGTGAGTTCAGTGGTTATGTTTTTATTGCTGTTTTGCTGTTGAATTTCTACACTGGTTATAAATAAAACGGAGTCCTTCAGTGTTTTTCTTTTTATCTTACTGTCCTCCGTGTTGTCATATTTCTAACAATGCTGTTCCGTCCTGTCAGGTCTGAGAAGTTATGACGACAACTATGAGAACGAGATAGCTCCTTGTAATGAAGGTAGGTAGCTTATCAAGTTGAGAAATATAGTTTACAGGATTTATGTGCCACTGAAAGATTATCTGAAAAGAACGACCTGCAGGATATTTCACATCTTCAGCAAATGACTGACTGGACTTCTTTTTGTCTCCAGGCGACGTTGAGGAAAATCTGGGGTTGAATGTGAAAACGCATTACTCAGAAAGCTTTCTCAGTGCAGAGCGAAGGAATCAATGCACCACTTTCAGTGCGGAGGAGCTGCCTCGCAGACTGCAAAACAAGTGAGTCATAAATACATGCGTCCAAAATGATTGGGAAATAGACGACTATGCATTTATCCGATATCATTTCCCGTACACGCAGCCTTAAAAAAAAAATTTGTTCTTCTTTCCAGAAAATCGCATACAATGAATCCTCTTTTCGTTTACTTGCAACCACCCAGCATTGTGCAGAGCTGTGTGTGGCGTGCTACATGAAGTCATCTCAATTAGTGTTCTATTAGGTAGTGGTCCTTGTTAGCAGTAACACCATCCTCTATGAATCTACAGTAATAGATAGCACATTTAAAAAATAATGAGGTTATTATATTTTTAGGGGTCTGAATCAGAATCAGAATACTTTATTGATCCCTGGGGGAAATTATTTTTTGTTACAGTGCTCCATTATAAACCAACATAAACCAACATTAAGACAAGACAGACAATATATACGTATATATACATACATAAGTCACTCATAAAGACAAGTTTATGGTCACAATTTACTGTGTGGACTTCAACTAAATTTGTGTTGTATATTCAGCCACAGCCTTCGATTACTTACAGATTTAACTTAATGAAACTATATAATGCTGGGTTTAAACACAGTTCCTGTGACAGCTAAAAACTTTTTATAATACACAAAAGGGAATGACCATGGCATGGCAAGGCTTTTGTTTTCTTTTTTTTGTTCCTACATTTGTGTTTGCGAACAGTACTTCTGCCTATTTAATGCTAATTTATGATAGTTGACTGACATTGTCATGGCTATCGGTTTATCCAAGGCAGCAGTTGCGAAATCAGTGAGCGAGCTTGTGAAGCTCAGCTCAAGAACATTTTTTGAATGCACTGATAGCTACAGTACATGACGATGTATCGCAGTAAAGTTTTTAAATGCAAACGTTGTTATGCAGAAGTCACTGTGAGGTAAAGTAAAAGTAATCTGTAATAAGCCCAGGATCTCGAAAAAGAACTTAAACCTCACAGCCACACCATGCTCTAAATTTGTTTGGGGTTTTGTTGACTTCACAATCTCGACTTTGCTTTTTTTATTTTCAGTGAAGGCCACCCTGTGAATCTTCCTGCTTTACTCCCGGGTGCTGGTGAGACATTTTTCCTTGAGGGACTTCCCGGAAGCGGGAAAACAACTGTAGCCCACATCCTGATCTCATCCTGGACTGAATGGCCCACAGATTCCCTTTCCAACTTCCTCGACCTCAGCGCACTTCATCTTCTCTTATATGTTGACTGCAGCTCCGTGAAAGACGACTTGTTTCAGGAGATAACAACTCAGCTTTCACTCACCAAAAATATATCAACAGAAAAGTTGAGAACTCTTTTAATCACATCTGGCAAGGCTCTGCTTTTGTTGGACAGCTACAAAGAAGGAAACCAATATTTCGATGACTCATTAAGGAAGTTTCTAAGTGAACGAACAGGTTGCAGGGTGCTGGTCACGGCCAGCCCAGGACACTGCCCCGTGCTCAGGCAAACGATTGGGAATGAAGGAGTTCGAAAGCTTCAAATACAACCTGCAAAGTACTGAGTTTAAAAATAATATTGTGACCAAAAAAACCCACTGTATATGAGTTAGATTTTTAACAAATGAGGCAAGAGTTTTGTGTTTCTGTGTGTGTGTGTGTGTGTGTGTGAGAGAGAGAGAGAGAGAGAGGCATTTAGATTTTTATAAGCCCAGATATGCTGCAGAATGTATGTACTGCATGATGATGTGTATTCAAAGTGATGCTTGGGAAGTTATAGACGTGCAACAAATTATAATTTTGTATTCTTTGTTGTCTTGTTTGTCACTTTCATTACTGTGCAATATGTTTTTTTCAAAATTCTTTTAGAGAAAGTACATCATTGTTACTGGAAAAGCTGCATAGTGAAAGCAGTGATAAGAAACTGGTGTTTGCAGAATCTATGAACGCGGCAATTAAAATCTCCTTTTTCAATACATGTAACAGTTCAGATACAGCAGTGGTTTCTGTTTTAGCTCAGTGTGTGTGCATGAAAAAGAGAAAGGTCATAGTTAAGGCATCAGCTAGACTGCAATCAAGGCAGCAACAGCTTCTCTCTGGTGTCAAGAGTAAGAGGAAGTGACACTTTGAGTGTTCCTGACAAGAGATCATTTATGCCAGTAACATTTAATTTAAAAAAAAGAAAGGGTCTTTTTTTAATTCTTTTTTTAAATTTTTGTAGGTTCTTCATTTTGTGGAAAAGCTAGCATGTTTACAAAATTTCAAATGGCATCGAGCCAGTAACTTCTCTCAGCCCTGATCTGTTGCACTGGTCGACATCATCTTTTACTAAACTCGATTGTGCGCTTTTTCGCTACGGCTGGTGACTTTACATGATCTCAAAAAGTCCTGAGTCAGCAGTAAACAGCATGTTGTTGTTGTTTCGTTTATCAAATGCACAAAAAGCGATGAACGTTTGTGTGGTAAATAGAGAAGTGAAAGAAAACATGCTTTAAATAAGAGAATGATATCCAAATAATGTGGCTTACTGTAGTTTACAGTCACACACGTGATGTGCGATTAACAGACGGGGAAATATTCCACCAAAGTAGTTTGTTGTCTTTAAGCTAATACACAACTAAAATGTGATTTTAAAAAAGGAAACTCAGCAGAGATGGGTTTGTAGAAAGCTAAAACAAGACCAAATCCCTAAAGACTCATCACATAATTTTACATGTAGGGAAGAAGGGCCTAAATCAGGGAAGCATCCAAGCAATTTGTCATTTAGCAGCCATAGTAGTTAAACCCAGTAAAAGAAAACTAAACAACGCCCCCTAAAAGAAATTTAAATTGTTGTCACAAAAAGACCTCATATGTTTGCTTTATTTCCCCATTTGGCTTTTGATTGGCTCGGTTTCCCTGACAGATTTTTTTGAGAGTCCAGGATGTACAAGAAGTGTCTAACAGATCATTACAAGTGGGATAGAAGAAGGAGAACCATCTCAACAGCACTTTATTACTTGTTGTTTTTTTTCTAAGCCAAGATGGCTAATAGCACTCCAATGCTAAGGCACGGTGGAGGCTGCATCCTGTTATGGGGCCGTTTCTCAGTAGAAGGAACTGTTGTAATGGTTGGAAATGAGAAAGAGCGCATGCAACCTAGTCAGCCATCTACTTCTCTTTCAGCACAAGACCTTTACCCCAGACAGCATCTGTTTAAAAGAAAGACTTACCCAACTCCAGGCTTTGCCCTTGTGCACTTTGACTTCAATTCTTCACCATTTTTTAAAAATACAAACTTCTGTCAGATCTGTGTGGAAAATCACACACAACTCTGGGAATACCCAGCTGTCTAACTCCTGGAGTTTATAAAAAAATTATTCTATATAACTCCCTCTTTATATCCAGTAGAATTGATTAACTGATTATTTTTGAAACAATCTGTGACTTCATGGTTTTTACTGGTCAGAATATCATCCCCTCTTTAGATTATATGCTTTTATGACAATGCAACCACTGCTAAAGATGAAAAAGTGTTTTTATGTGTGTGTGTTTTTGCATATTCTTAACGCAAACAAACTTTTTCTTTGAGAAAATGTCTCCTTTTTCATTAAGCTCACCTCACATCTCTATCATTTTTCAAACTAAGCAGTTCCACAGTAGTTTACGGTTGATTTCTAAAGCCAATTAATTTGTATACAAATTTGTTTGTGAAAAAACCCAACTTTTTTATACATTAAAATGGAAGATTATTGGATGTTTTTGAAATTTTAAAAGAAAAGGCTTAAATTAGATCAGCAAATAAGGGGGAACCAAAAAGCAACAATCCTGGAAACCTTTGCCGATGATCTGTAAAAAAATATCGATGTGGACTAATTTATTTCAATAATGCAAACCAACAAGAGCACTGTAAATTAGATGATCACAGTCCTCATTAGGCAAACATAACAGGCATAAAACAGTATTTTTTTTTTTAAATTTTATGCATGTGTTTCACTTTCACAGACAGCTCAAGTAAAGGCAGATAACAGATAATCTATACACTGTGATGTAAGGGCAAACCTTCTGTAAGAAGCTGAGGTGGGGCTGGGTGGGATCTTAGAGGCTGCTGTTCCCTGGAAAAATCTGGCACACAATCTGGAGCGCAGGCATTATCCAAGAAAACCTGCTTTAATGCAAAACCAGGGTGCAGTGTAAACTGGAAACTGGCACGTCATCAAAACACAGATCATTACTTCCAATCAGACCCTAAGAAATCCTTAAGTTGGTGAAGTCATGACTACTATGCCATGGTATCATCCTCATCATTTTCCCCCCACATGTGAGGCTGCAGATATTTAAGTCAAAGGGAAGAATCTGACTCAGAGTCATCTGAGAACAACAATTTCTGCAAAATCTGAACAGCTGAATAAGTCTAAATCTTACAATTTGCTGGTCTGCTAACTCAGCTCTGTCTCAGTCACGATACAATCTTGAAAAACATTCAAGCATGAATAAAGGGGAGGAAAAATAAAAGCCAAATGTATTTAAGAATACATTTGTAATGTTTGCAGAGCTCTGTGTGCAAACTCAGCAGTTTGCACACAGAGCTCTGCAAACGTTTTGGTTCTTCTTCCAGCTTTCATTATTGACTGATCTCTGTGTAAAACTGAGACTAAAACCGGACGCACCCTGACACACTCAACACGCTCAATGTAAAGAGCAACTTGGCAGCCTGCATGTGTTGTACTGGGTACATTTATGATTCACTTAAATATTTTCCTCCCAAAATTTAGTGATGTGAAAGGGAAAACACGACATACGCAATAAATCTGTTTACGTGCCTTTCAGTCACAAACTTGTTCATGAACTTCTTCGGCAAAGCCAGACAGCAGACAGTAAGGTGGTTTTGTGGGCTGCAGATAGGAAAACGCAACATCCAGAACGCAGGAGGGAGAGAACTCGAATAAAACTTTCGCTTTAATTGGCGATTAAATAAATTCAAAAACACAAAGTCCAAAAACCTCCGATATAATCAAACACTATGAGTCAGACAGGGTAACTCTGTACAACAGAAATGGACCCAAAGCAGATGACATGTCGAAGAAGAAAGGGAGGACTGTTTTATTTATAGCCTATACTTACAACTCGATGGGAACAAGAAACAATCCGACAATCAGAAGGTCAGAAATGAAACAAGGCACCAGTGAAAACTTTTATAAAACAAAACAGGAAGCAATCCAAAATATATCGACTAAACACACAGACAACAGAAAGGAAACAAACTAATCGAGTGGGAAGGTAAGTAAGTAAGTAACATTTATTTATATAGCACATTTCACACTGGAACTCTTTCCCATGTTGCTTGTCTGTGTTTATTGTGCTATGGTGTGTTGATATCTGTGCATTCCTGTATTAGCCTTTTGTGTTACATATTTCGATGTTTTTTTTCCTCGCTACCTAGCCTTCATGTCTCCCCAATATGATGTTTGTGTATTGTATGTACGGTCAGCAAGGTCTGTCATCTTGGTTGTGGGCAAAAGACCTGCAACTGACAAATAAAGTCTATCTCTCTCTCTCTCACACATATAAAAATCACAAAGTGCTTCACAATAAAATCAGAAATACAAATAAAATAATATAAAACAGTGAAAAAATTAATTAAAAGCTTGTTTGTTTATAAATGTCTTTGGCTGCTTTTTAAAGGAGTCAGTGGAGTCTAGACAGTGTAAAGACAACAGCAGGGAGTTCCACAGCCTCTGTGCCAGTGCCTGAAAAGTCCGACCCCCACGTGTTTTAAACCTAGTACGCAGGACCACCAGTAACCTCTGACCCGACGACCTAAGTGCTCGGGATGAAGCATGAGGTTTCAGCAGGTCAGAGACATACTGGGGAGCTTCACCGTGCAGAGCTCTAAAAGTTACAACTAAAATCTTGAAATGAATCCTAAAATTTACAGGCAACCAATGAAGAGAAGCCAAAACTGGAGTAATGTGTGACCTCTTGTTTGTGCCAGTTAAAAGTCTTGCTGCGGCATCCTGTACAGACTGAAGGAGATCCAGAGCTGATTTGTTAAGACAAGTAAAAAGACCGTTACAATAATCCAAACGAGAAGAGATAAAAGCATGAATAATCATCTCAAGTTCTGCCTTTGACACCAGTAGTCTGAGTTTAGAAATGTTTCTTAGATGATAAAAAACAGTTCAAGTTGTTTAGAGTGTTTCTCAAGAGACATTGAACTATCAAATATAACACCTACGTTTCTGAGACTCGACTGAAATGAAGGGTCTAAAAAACTGATATGCTGCTTAATTTCTGAGAGCATGTGATCAGGTGCAAGAATCAAGGTCTCTGTTTTATCTGCATTTAACTGGAGGAAATTGTCATTTAACCATTGTTTGATTTCTGACAGACAATTATTTAAACACGACAATTTATAAAACAGAAGTTTTGAAAGAACAGTATAATATAATATAATAAGAAATAAAGTCAAAACAGAAAGCGAAATGTTATACATGACTGAGTCTCAAATGATAAAGCCAAAAGCAGGAAGTTATAATGACCAAAAAAAACCAAAACACAGCACTAAAGAAACAGAAACCAACCTTACCATAAACCACAAAAATAACAAATCCCAGGGACCATCACAGACAGGAGGCTTTTTCTTTAAAGCCAAAAGAGGGTTTTACCCTGGCAGTGAGCAACAGAAAATCTGCCCTGAAAGGAGAAATATCAGTCCCTCGTAACCACGAACACAAATCCAAATAAATGCCACATTTACTTGAGATCAGAGAAATAGATAAGAAAGGCAATAAATATGACTAGACTGAACAGCAAAGCCACCCACGATTATTACACATTATCAGATTTTATTGCCTTGTTCTGATCAGCAGCTGCCTGTAAATGATCTAAAACAACTTCCCCCAAACTCTAAATTGCTAAAGCAGAATCTGCTTATTCGGGGGTTTTTGGTAAGCCTCGGCTTTTCTGCTCTTCGCAGCAAATTCAAAAATGGATCATTT